TGCTGTTTTGCCATCAGGAGGAAGCAACCTGGCCTGTTGGTGATCCAACTGTGTTAAAGAAGAAGCTGGATGAAATATTTGCTAGTGAAAAATACAATAAAGCATTGTTACAGCTTAAAGCAGCTAAGAAAGAGATTGAGGAAAAACATAAGCACAAGAAAACCTGTTTGAGTTACGTGCAGAAGAATAAGATCAAGAAAGAGGATCTGGCTAACAAATTAACTGAACTCACGGCCACGATAATTGAAAAAGTAGAGAAATCGGAAAAGATGACTGAAGAAACAAAACTCATGGAATTAAGCTTAAAAGACTTAAAAGAAAAAGAGCATACGTTTATGCAGTTAGAGAAAGAGTACAATTCAATTAAAAACGAGTTAGATGGAGCAAAACAGTGTGTAAATGAACATCCGGAGATGAAAGACCTGATTGATAACAGGAATCTGATGAATGAAATTGAAGAAATCATTAGGTTGATAAATGAGAAGCAAAGAAACTTAAACAATAGTAGAATTAAGGAAATGGAACATGAATTGGTTTTGAAAGAGGTGCAATTCAAGAATATTTCAAGAGCCAAGGAGAAGTACGAGGAAGATGAGAAAAGAATAGAAGGCTATGGCGAAACAACAAGAAACTATGAAAGGAAAAGAGATGAAATCATTCAATGGTGTAATGAGAATGATATTGAATCACTGCCTGAAATAACTCTTATAGAGATATCAAAAAAGCTTAAAACCAAGCAAAGTGAATACAAAACAAGGTTAGAAGAGCTAAAAAGGAGCAGAGGAGAGTGGCAAATAGAACTGAATAAGTGCAGACAAGCAGAGTATCGGGTAAAAGAAGCACAAGAAACATGAAGACTTGTTAAGCATAAGTATTGATAAGGAAAACATTTTGAATGTTGAAAATGAGGTATACAATATAGAGAAGGAAATAGAAGATGTTGAAAGTGGTTTGGACATTCTAGATGTGTCATATAGAAAGATATTGGAGCAACGATCTATGTCAGAGAATGCAGGTGAAATATTACGATTTGATAAGGCATGCAATATTCTGTGCAAAATGATTAGTAGAACGGATTTGAATGAAGAAGTTGTTATGGAACACCTTAATCAACTAGAAATGAAGATAGCACAATTAACAAGAGAAATGAAAGCAAAAGAAACAGAAATGAATGTAGCAGCTTATGAAAATAAGAAGATCAAAGAAAAAGAAGCAGAATTAACCGAAAGGATGAATAGCCTAGCAAATAGATTTCGGAATATTGCACCTGCTAAATATCAGATAGGGCGGATATTTGCTGATTTTGAAAGTATTCAAAAGAGAATTATACAAAACGAGGCAATGGTTGAGGTATTGGAGAAGAACATGATCTATAGCGGAGAAACAAAGGCGTGTATACTGTGTACTGGAAAGGAAATTACTGATCAATATTTTAAGAAGTTGCACGAAATTGTATTACGTGATGAAGAGATAAATAATCACAAACAAGAAACAGAAAGGCTTAGAAGAAGCATAGACATTAACTTGACAATGGAACGGGCCAAGTTAATGAACGAATTATCAGTTGAATACAATAAGCATAAAGAGAACCTGGCAAATATCAAACCAAACCTGAATCTAAAAACCCTACAAGATCAACATGACATGATTACTAGAAAATATGAGGAGATGAATCATTCATATGCAGAATTCAAACAGAATCATATAATATATAAGGAGTTCATCAATATCAATCGCAATAATATTGATAAAGAATTAGAAAATATCAAAACCGTGATGAATTCCAGAAAGGCTCAACTAAACAATTTGAAGGCTGAATTGAAAATACGCTACAAACAAAGGGAAATTAAGCAGAAACAGACTGAAATACATTCAAAACAGTTAGAAGTCCAGAAAGCTAAGAGAATTATTGACCAACACGATTTCAACCAACTCACCAAATGTGAAATGCACCTAATTGCTTACGAAAATGAATTGGATGAAATTTCAGACGGATTTAGCAGATTCAAAGCAATAAGTGAAGTGAAATTGCAGGAAATTGATCAGATTAGCAGAATTCTCGAAGACATTTCCATCAATGCTACTCTACACAAAAATAACCCATTTAATTGGAAACACTATGAAGAAGTAAAATGCGCCTATGAAAAGGCATCATCCAATCACGAAAGAGAACTCACAACCAAAATGCAAATCACTGGTGATTTAAACAACTTGTATAAATCTAAGACAGAAATTGAGCAACTGATAAAATTCAAAAATGCATTAGCAATTATTGAAAAACATAGGCACATCACTGAAAGATACGATAAAGTAACACACAACAGCCTTAAAGAGAAATTGATCACTCTCACACAGTCACAGAATCAATTGATCAACTATCAAAGCAGAATCGAGGGAGAAATCAAACAACTCGATTTGGTCAAAACAGCTAGAGAAATTGAACTGAAGGAATACGCGAATGTCACTGAGGAATTCAACAAATTGGCACTTGAAATCAAAATATTTGAATTTCAGGTTGAAGATGTTCAGAAGGCAGTTGTTGCACTAGAAAAGACCATCATTGAATATCATGCAGCCAAAATAGAAGAGGTTAATACGGCACTATGTGATCTATGGACCAATACGTACTCCAACAAAGATATCAGTAGAATTGAACTCAAATCTGATTTGACTGCCACCAGTTACAGTTACAGGATGGTGATGTACAATCAGAGCGAGATACCATTGGATATGCGAGGTAGATGTAGTGCAGGTCAAAAGATGATTGCATCCATTCTATTCAGAATGGCATTAGCTGAATGCTTTAGTGATGCGAACTTGATTACCCTTGATGAACCAACCACCAACTTAGATGCAACCAACATGGAGAAATTGGCTGAGACACTCAACAATTTGCTATTGACAAAGAGTGATATGCAACTTGTTGTGATCACCCACGATGAAGAGTTTGTTGGGATGATAAACAGAGTTGGATCAAAGAGCATCTATAAAATAGAAAAGGATAGTAGAGGAATGAGCAACATCAAAATTGATACAATTTCATATTGATCACTAGATACAATTGAATCAACCCATGTTAATTGGACTATTGATTATTTGTTTGTATGGAGTAGAAGGAAGCAATGGCAATCCAAGCATGAGATTCAGTCTAATAAAATGGATCAGGGAGTTTTTTATGTTTGATGATGCTGATGAAATGAATAATGGGAATAAGCCTGACAAACAAATGTACAAGAAATGCTACTGTTTGGAACTGCATACAATTTGTATATTAGGTAGTGTAAAGAACAGACGATATAACCTAGAGAATAGAATGGGAGATGCATCAGAATTGTACAATGAGTTGATTGAATTGATGGATAGATGGACTGGTAGTAAAAAGAAGAAAAATAAAGCACTCAAAGCATTCTCGAAGAAAGTGGTAGCACAAAACGACTTCAAACACATTAGACTCAATCATCTTGGGATAATATCAAATATTCAATTGTTCAAGAAATATTTGGTATTGCACTACAATTATTTGAAAGGTGTCGATTTGGAGATGCAGAAATACAGTAAGCAGCTTAAGAAACTCTACCACAAGGAATATGAGGCATAGCATACCATAAAGCAGGGGTGGCCAAACGTAGCCAATTTGCCTATACTTTTTTCTTAGGCATTTCTAGTGAAAAAAGCGCCATGTGAAGCATTTTAATCCCTGTACCACGATATTTTTTGCCATCCTTTTGAACCTTACCACAATACTGTACAAAACGAAAACCTTGTTTTTATCCCTAATTTTAGGCTTGAAAAATAGGAAAAGTATCATTACGTTTCAAGGTGATTTTGCCACTAGGATAATTAGAACGAGAAGTAATTTTATTGAAAAAGAGTGCGTGAAGACACGACCAAAATAACGATTCGTGTTTTAGTCGCGTCTAGAAGGGAATAACATGCGCGAGATCGATAAATAGCGAAAATGGTAAAGGTGTGGAATCTGAAGATAAGAGACTGCTAGAGGAGGACATGAAAGTAGTGCTTTAGAAATCTTTGATGATATTAAAGTCCGCAATAGAGGGCGTTACTGCTGTTGCAATATAATTTTTAAGAACCAAAACGATCCCAAAGCGAACAGAACAACACGAAATAGCATGTTATACTCCTTGTCTGTATCAAATAAGTGAACATACCATCGTTTTTGTTTCCAAAAAGATGTTATTGGCAACAAAATATGGTTATCGAGCTTATTTAACTGAATTAGAAATTGTTAAATTCAAAGACAATGAATATCATAAAACAAAGAGTTTGAGGATAAATAAAGGTGTATTTGTTCAACTTCTTCTATTTTGGGCGGAATTATAATAAATAATATTATGATGATTTCAGGTAATTTGACTATCTCTGAATCAGGTGCCTAAAAATCGATGAAATTAAGATAATTAGAGGAGATTGAACTATGAAGAATAAACATAAGTGCAGAATGGTTGAAATGAGATCAACAAGGAGAATGATGGCTGGGGAGAGCGATTGATAAAGATGAACAGATTTTTGATTATTTCTTGATGTAGTGATTCCTGGCGCGGAGCGGCAATTATTGGCCACCCCTGCTCTAGTCATTTATTGAAGTACCCTCCTTTGCGTATTTTCCTTAAATGGTCAGTTATGGAGGGATCACTGATCATCTTGCTCAGGCATGATGCCAGTGTCATAATTAAGATGCATGGTTGAACTCCTTGCTCATTGATCACTATCGTGATCCTTTTACGTAAACTGGTCTGATTGTTCATCTGGTACTAGTGAACCAGGACTTTGGGTCTTATTAGTGGGCTGATCGTCCACATGATCATTGATCAATGATCAATGATCATTTTTGAAACATTGATTAAAGCAGAGAGCCCAAAAGTTTATAGAAATAACACCCAATATTGGCATTGCAATGGAATAATATGTTTAGATCACAATCACTAACCAAGGTATAAAAATGTGAAAAAAACAATACCGTTATGATTTCAGGAATACTGATGCTTGTATGCAGTGTATTTACAGCAACAGGTAACACCGCGAATCCCCTAGTTCACAAAACAATGTTTACTAGGAGGACAATTGTCAATGAAATCAAACTTAAACAAAGAGCTTGTAATTGCAGCCAAAAAGAACACCCAATTTCGGAACATGAAGAAACCTTGGAATATGTTGCTGATGCAATTGAGATGTTTAGAGGCCAAAACAGCCTATTGAACACTATGAAAAAGCCATTAACAGAAAACAATGAAAACATGATCAAGACAAACATGATCAAGTGCGCCAGGAGAATACAGGATTATGGATTTTGTGAAAGTTATAATGTTACACCTATGACTTTAAAGAAACTACAAGCACTCTATCTTGTAATAGAAAAAGCTTTCAATGACTGGAAAGCGATAAATGGAATAGAAGAATAATAAATGGTTTGTTCTCTCTAAATTCAACCTTAGTTATGCCAGTGAGAGACAATAAATATGTTTGTTCAATGAGCCATCACAACAATAAATATTCGTTATACTAATTTAGCCCTTTAAGAATGATTTTATTGATACTATTTTCAGGTATTTATGTATCAAGAATATCACGATTGGACTATTCAAGTGATGAGGAGATTGAAATTCCAGTTAAAGAACTAATGCAAGTACAAAGATTGATGGCAAAAATCGAAATGGAACATGTTAATAAAGAAAAAAGCAAACTATTACTGAAAAAACTTATTGAGAAGAGAAATAATATGTTGAAATTCATTAATGTGTTCAACGAGTGTTTTAGTAGCATTTCGAAGTTCATGGTGCACAAGAAATACATGAATATACTCAAGGAGTCTATTCCAGAATTGAAAAATGTAGCAGTAGAGATAAGTAACAAATATTCAATACAAGAAGCGTACAGAACAATTCTGGATGACGTGTATTTAAATATTCACAAGTATGAAAGCAGAATAAAACTGAAAACAAAAACAATAAATGAGCTAGAGACTGAACTAAGACGACTTCATAGAAAAATTAGGAGACTCACAGGCAAATAAATTTGTATATTACTTTATGCTTTTTAACCCTATTATGCAAAGTAAGAAATTGAAAGAGAGCAGCGGTACTAAAATAGAATACAAACATGTGAAAGGCGAACTGGAAAAGATGTTTAACAAGGTAAAGAACAACGAGATGACAGATTCAGATAGTGAGAAGATGACGACAATTTTCAAGTTACTGAGCATGACAAACATCAAGAAGTCTAAAGAGAGTTATTTGGTTAGCCTAATAGATTGGATGATTGATATTAGAGGCACAGCAGTCGGCAATCTATATAGACAAGAAATATACAGCTTCTTCTACCTGTTTATGAGGAAGGAGGTAAAATTGGATGTAGCAAACAAATTGAGAGCATACAAACACATGAGATATCTGAATGATTTGGATGTCATATTTAGTGATCTATATTCTGATTACAATGACCTAGAGAGGATGGATGTGAATGGCAAAGTATTTAGGAATTATATCCTAGAAAAAATTATTGAGAAGTCATTCACAGTCAAAGATAGCACCAGAATACTTAATGGTATTTGTGAAGCAATGGACAAATACAAGAATGTATTTGCTAAATGTCTCTGTGATATTGAGACGCTGCCTGATGAGAAAGAGAATACTGAAAACAAACCTGAAAAATTCAAGGATGAATACAAAGTGGTGTTCATGTTGTATTACACATACAAATGGCTTGAAAATGTACAAATAGATTTGAATGCATTAAAATCAGCCAAGGAAGTGGAGGAAATTGAGGATTCAGTGATCTCCAGAGTGTTTGACGCATTTAATTCACTGCCTGAAATAGAATTTGGTGTATTTAAAGAGAAGGAGGTGATATACAAGTTGTTTAACACAAACAACTATGAAAACATTCTATTCTCTGTCTATCAGAGACTATTCAATTTCTACATTTGGAAGAACAAGAAGAAACTTGCCAATTCAAAAATACTCAGGGCATTTGATCGAAATCAGCAACACAATATCTACCTGAAACTAAGAAACACTCACGAATCATTTGTGAATGTTTTCAAGCAGATCAATCCACAGTATCTGATTCTGGAATTAGAAAAAACAAGAAGCCACCACATTCTCAAAGACGTCTTCATGCACTTTGATTTGTTTACAGCCCAGAAGGACATTGCTACCATCTTCAACACGATGTTCTTTGCATTTGAAAGCAGCTTCAACACGTCTCAAATCAGTAACTTAAGCACTGCAATCTCTAAACACCTTGAAATATTCGCTGATTCATTCGCTGAGTTACACGAATATTCTAAGCATGAAATACGAAATAAGCTTAATCAAATAGACTTAAACATCAATATAGCAGAGTACAAGAAGAATGTAAGTGTGTTACACATGCTGACGTATTTCAATGAGCCTCGCTTTGACATGGTCGAATTGGTAGGACTGATATTGGATGACGAAGGAATCATTAGATCCAAGGAAGAATATTTCAGGTGCAAATACATTTTATGCCTAATATACAAATTCAAGGAGCTGATTGGTATCGGACTGATAAACAGACTAAAGGTAGTGATCAAGAAGAATATAGGCAACAGAGAACACATCAAAATGCTTGGTCGAATTTACAACTACATCTTCGAGAACAAGGAGGAGAACAGGTTCAATCCACTGATTCTTGGAGCAATTGGATCAAATAAGTTCAAAATAAACACAGGTGGAGAAAGCAACCTGGAATATGTCGCAGTGCTACTCAACATGCATTACAGCGTGACTAATGAACACCTTGATGTCTGTTCATCCATTCTGAACTCTACCGACAACCAAATACTCAAAATGCTTGTTTTTGAAACAGTCATCGACCTGATCAATTCCGAATCCAATTTGAAGTTGATCAATAAGTTCATCACCAACAATTCAACCCTACTCGTTGACCTATTCATGAAACACCATGAGCAAATTGGAGTAATATTGATCTATGGACTACNTGGATCAAATAAGTTCAAAATAAACACAGGTGGAGAAAGCAACCTGGAATATGTCGCAGTGCTACTCAACATGCATTACAGCGTGACTAATGAACACCTTGATGTCTGTTCATCCATTCTGAACTCTACCGACAACCAAATACTCAAAATGCTTGTTTTTGAAACAGTCATCGACCTGATCAATTCCGAATCCAATTTGAAGTTGATCAATAAGTTCATCACCAACAATTCAACCCTACTCGTTGACCTATTCATGAAACACCATGAGCAAATTGGAGTAATATTGATCTATGGACTACACTCTGTTGCAAAAGTTTGTGGACAGCCATAAACTTCTTGATATACTCTCTTTTACGGCTCTTATGCTACGCGATACACTTTTTACGTTGCTCTTTGCTGTTTCTTTTTATCTGAACTCAAATGGTTTGATGGTTGAACAGATAGGGACTAATTTCCAAAAATGATTTAAATTCTTGTTGCAAAAATTTGTGGACAACGCTACAACAGCAATATTAATAAGCTGGCACAAAATTCCATGCTTATTTTAATGTTTAACGTGTCTAAAAACCTATCAGGTGGAAAAGCATTTCTAAAGGTTGAACAAGAGATCACTTTAATAGTGATCAAACTAAACACAATTTCATAATGATCTGCTACGACACGAACATATAAATAGCTGCTATGCATGTTACAGAGGCTATAAACCTTGTTAAGGATACCTTTGTATGTTCTGAGCACTCAAAAAGGCTGTTGGAGTAAGTATTTCATTTAATGAT